CGAATGGGATGTCCAAGTTTTTTCACTATTTGATTTCGCATTCATTTCCAAGTTGTTAATTATGAATTATTCGTAGTTTGTAATTTGAAGCTTAAAGTCTCTTTAGGGCTTTGTATACTAGAGCATGTTTACTTGTATGCTTTGGATTTATCATTTCAATAATTAGTGTAGTTGAGATGATCCTATTAACTCATTTGGAACATACACGTTAGGTGGCATGAACCACTTTAGTTATTTTCGCATTTTAAATTCCATGTTGATAACTTTGTGAATTTATGCCTTATTGCGTTGTATTGGAAGTTTCAATGTTGATTAAATTGCATTGATATTGTGATTTGTATTTTATTGTTCTAATGTGGCCTAGGATGATTCCTTAGACTCATTTAGAACATAGACATTAGGAGGCATGAACCACTTTAGTTGATTACGCATTTTAGATTTCAAGTTGATAACTTTGATAATCTATGTTTTGTCGCATTGTATTGGAAGTTCCTATCATTTAGTCGTTTTCGCATTTTAGGTTTCAAGTTGATAACTTTGATAACCTATAACTTGTTGCGTTATATCGTATACTCCTATGTTGTTTACTTGCATACATATTGTGCTTTATGTTAGAAATGCTTTAAGGTAGCTTAGGATGATACATGAGTCTCACTTTTGACATAGATGTTAGGTGGAATGAACCACATGAATTAATTCATAACAACTTGCAAAACTTGTAAAATGTTAGGTTTATGCATGTTCATCTTCCTACGACTAACTTTACGTTGCTCACCCTCAATGTTGGGATATCTTTCAGGTATAGAAGCCATGATTTGGGATGCACAATATCTTTAAGTTGTTTTGATGATTTGAAGTACTTGTGATATATTTTTGTTCACATGCAAGTGTTAACATGTTTTAGTTTTACTTTTAAAGTTGTAATACTTAGCTAGGCTCAATATATCGTTTATGCCTTGTAACATGTAAAGTGTACTTAGATATACTCTTTAGGATATATTTGATATGTATAAGATGAGGCCATGGGCCATTTATTTGTAAATTGTTTCTTTTGATTACTTTTGGTTTTAAGCACAATTCTTGAAAAAATAGAAAAACATGAAGTCATAAGTTGTCATTTTCCATTTGGGTGGTGCAAAGTGTGCACGAGCACACTCATTAGGACTCTATTAATATATTTGAGGTGTTTTTGTTTGCATTTATGAATTTTAGTTTTAAGTTTTGCCTTTAAACCTCATTTTATGCAAATTTGAGGTTTGATAGGTCAAATTTTGCATCGGGCATATCTGGGGGCCGTGGACCATTCCTGTGTGCTTTAAAACATTAATTACGTTTACGTACATGATTTTTTTTTATTATTTTAATAAAACCCTTTCCTTGGTGAAATGAGCCTTCTACGGACTCATTTTACACTTTTTATGCAAAATCTGGTTTAGGGGCATTTTGAAAATTTTGCTTTGAAAAATAAATTTTGGTTTTGACATAATCACATAGAAAACGTGATTTTAGGGGGGGGGGGGGGGGGGGTTTCTTCACAACATTTTCCCAAAAAATGTCATCTTGGTCTCAAAAACCTTACGTCAAAATCTAATTTTCCAGTGCACGCACATTTTTCAGAAAAAAGTTTGGTTTAAGGGGCATTTTGGGTATTTCATTTGAAAAATAAAAACTTTTCTTGACATGGTCATGTAAAAAACATGATTTTGGATAGGGGTTACTTTATAACTTTTTTCCAAAAAATACCATCTAGGCCTTCAAAATTGCATTTCAAACTCCGAAATCTGTGCAAGCCTATGGCATGTTAAGATGCTTGTCAAGATGCTCGTGGGGATGCTCGTTGGTGCGTGCGCGCAGCGTGTGTTGTGGGCGCCCATGGTGTCCCATCTTGGCCGCCTCGACGTCAATTTTTGTTTTAACCATAACTCATTTGTTCGGACTCCGAATAAGACAATTCTTGAGTCAAACTTTGTTAATTTTTCGTTGTCTATCCAATGGTGTGCTCGGAAGTATCTGCATCTTTTTGAAATTACCATTTTGCTCCTAGGGCTAAACTTGTCCATTTTTAAAAGTTTTTCTTTCGTTTTGTTTTCTTTTGAGTCCTGTAACTTTATAGGAAATCATATTGGCATATTAGGGATGACGTACATTTCTCGAGGCTTTGATTCCATGTGAAAAGATCATTTTGCCTTTAGGGCATACTTGGTCTATTTTTGATTTTTTTCTTCCGCGTTCGTTCTCGTTGAGTTCCGTGGCCTTATGGAAGGTCACTTTGGTATCTTAGAGATGTATTACATCTCTAGAGACTTGGTTTCTAATTTTGCTTTCGCATTCGGGATCCGTTATCGGGTCAAACTTCATCACAGGACGCACTGACTTGAAAAAATAGGGTTGTCACAGACAGTGTGTTTGGTTTCCTTAAAAAAAAAAATATTTTAAATACCGAGCTCCACTGAGGGAAGAATCAGTATCAGCTCATCTTCTAATATTCTTCCTCTTTAATTTCTTCACTAAACAAAGAAAGAAAATTTTCTTTAAGGCATTGGTGCATTCATCCCTTGCCATTATGTTAACACAACCAACATATTCTTCTTATTAAATAAGAACTTCAATAATTTTATGCATGCAAAAATATAAAAGAACAATTAATACAATCATATGCTTTCATGTATTATAAAACAATGTAGAAATTACTTAGACATTTTCATCTCTGGTTTAAATGAACACAAATTTTAGTTTTGAATTTCAAGAGGCACAAAAAATAATTAAATAGGCAAAAACCAATTAAAATAGAAAATTCACTTACATATACAAACTAAAAAGTGATATAAATCAAATAATTCAATTATTAAAACTATCAATGGGAAACAAACTGTTAAGTAATGCATTCGAACTTGGATCCTCTAAGTTAAATATTTTCTAAGTTATCCTAAATTGAATTCTCTGCAAATTGACACGTGACATTTAAAATATATCTATTGCTTGTGTTAAACCACGTCAACTAATTTAAAGAAAGTTTGAAAATTGCACCGTTTTAAGATAAGAAAAATTTATCAAACTTTGAAAACTGCACCATTTTGAAATAAAAAAAATTCATCATATTTTAACGTCGTTCTCTCTCCTCATCTTTTCCCAAAAAGACCGCTCCCTCTCTCTCCTCTTACTTATTCCTACGATTGGAGAATATTTAAGCCTTTGTAATGGATTTTGTAGCTTAAATTTTAAGAAAGAGAGGAATTTTGCAATTTAGATTTCTGAAAAAGAGAGTGAAAAGAGAGAGGAATTTTGCAGTTTAAATTTCAAAAAATAGAGGAATTTTGCAATTTAAATTTCAGAAAAAGAGACCAAAAAAATAGAGTAATTTTGCAATTTAGATTTTAGAAAAAGAGAGTGAACTAGAGCTTCTAGGCTCCGAAAATCATGGGAAAAAAAATTCATTTTTTGTGTGAAATATTCCCCCAATCATGGAAATGAGCAAGAGAAGAGAGGGAACGATCTTTTTCGAAAAAAATGAGGGAGAAAGAAAAACTTTAACGTCGTAAAATATGGTGAATTTTTCTTATTTCAAAATGGTACAGTTTTCAAATTTTCATAAATTTTTCTTATCTCAAAACGACTTGGATTCTCTAAGTTATCCTAAGTTGAATTCTCTGCAAATCTATCTACGGCTTGTGAACTAGAGCTTTTAGGCTCCGAAAATCGTGGAAAAGACATTCATTTTTTGTGTGAAATATTCCCCCAATCATGGAAATGAGCAAGAGAAGAGAGGGAGCGATCTTTTTTGGAAAAGATAAGGGAGAAAGAAAAACGTTAACATCGTAAAGTATGGTGAATTTCCCTTATTTCAAAAGGGTACAATTTTCAAACTTTTGTAAATTTTTCTCATCTCAAAACGACTTGGATTCTATAAGTTAAATCTTCTCTAAGTTATCCTAAGTTGAATTCTCTGCAAATCTATCTACTGCTTGTGTTAAAACACGTTAACTAATTTAAAGAAAGTTTGAAAACGATTCTCTAAGTTAAATCTTCTCTAAGTTATCCTAAGTTGAATTCTCTGCAAATCTATCTACTGCTTGTGTTAAAACACGTTAACGAATTTAAAGAAAGTTTAAAAACTGATTCTCTAAGTTAAATCTTCTCTAAGTTAACCTAAGTTGAATTTTCTGCAAATCTATCTACTGCTTGTGTTAAAACACATCAACGAAAGTTATCTTAAAGTTATCAACGAAAGTTTCGTTAACGTGTTTTAACACAAGCAGTAGATAGATTTGCATAGAATTCAACTTAACTTTCTTTAAATTCGTTAACGTGTTTTAACACAAGCAATAGATAGATTTGCAGAGAATTCAACTTAAGATAACTTTCGTTAACGTGTTTTAACACAAGTAGTAAATAGATTTGCAGATAATTCAACTTAGGATAACTTAGAGAAAATTTAACTTAGAGAATCCAAGTTCAATACATTCAAAGAAATCTCAACTTTTTGGCATTCATTTTTAACAAATTGATATTACCTTCTTCCAACTTTTCAGCCTTTACTAGAAATTTTCAGTACTTAATTTTATTTTAAAAAAAAGGTAGGCTATTTTGATAATGTTATCTATCAAGCATGACTGATTTAGTTCTTATATAAAACTTTTAGGTACTATAGGGATTGGTTTGATAGTACATGGAATAAGCTGTAAAAAAAATGAACATTTTTTTTTTTCTTTTCTAACAAAGTCAACCACTTGAAAAGTTGATCATCTTAGTTTAAAACTTTAAATCAAGGGTAAATAAATCAAACCTCAGGGGGGAAGTCCGAGCATTTTAGCCTTTAAAATACTAATATTGGATGTGATCATACAAATTCTATGATGAGATACTAATATCTTTATACTCAATTTCAGGAGATCTTGCGCATAAATTTATTTAAAGGTGAGAATATTTTGTATCCCTACCTCAATTGTCGAGATAAATTATTGGGAATTAATTCCTACATATAACGCATCTGTACCAAGAAGAAAAGAAAACACAATTTTTTTTTTTTTTTTGGTTGGGGGGGGGGGGTGTTGTAAGAGTGCACCCACCCAACTCAACAGACGCAAGGAAACTTGAACCTTTAACCTGCTACATAAAAGGATAAGGAGCTACCCTTTGAGCTAAAAACTCATTGGTAAAAGAAGATACATTTGCCTGCATAGTGCAGGCTTGTATGAACCTGTTACATGATCATTCTTCAATTCATCCAGAACCTTTTCACTTCACATACTTCATAAACCAGTTTAACATGTCTTCGTGGGCCTCTTCAGCACTCTTGACTGCTGATTCATCGTCAACATTGTATTTCACACTCCATCCATGAGCTACACCGGGGAATATCTTAACAAAGTTATCAATCTGAAATACAGGTTAAAGCTCGTCGTCAAAATGATTACCTTGTGTATGGATCATAGATGCAACATGCATGTAGTTTTAAACTATGTTACTTGGATTCTTCAAAAGTGGTGAAGTATCCATGTCGGATACATATTGTTCGGACATGCGTATGGGATATGTGTCCGACACTTTTGGTTGGGTATGTACTTTAAAAGCATATCCAATAATTTGATTTATATTATATTATTATTTTAAAATAAATTAAATGCCTATATCAAACACTATATTAGATAAAAAATAATAATAATAAAAATAAATAAGAAAAATAAATAAAATAAATATTTAGCAATGTCAGCGTGTCCTTCTGTTTAGAGATTTGACACGTCCGACACGTGGATGCATACCCGTACCCGAGTCCATGTAACATAGGTTTTAAATTTTGAAGCATCAAACAACTAGCTAGTGTGAACTATTGAAAAACAACCATAAAACTTATTTTGATCATCTCTTACCCCAGATTCTGCAGATAAAATCTCCCCGAAATGTTTCAATTGTTCCGGTGGGGAAGCATTATCAATCTCAGCACCCAATATAGCAATTGGAGTCTTAACCTCTGAAATGTCAAATGTCATGCCATCAGTAATGAACAGTTGTTGTGAGCTTCAGATGTGCGAAGCTTACCCTTAATGTCATCTACCGTCATGCGACCAGGATGCAATACAACTGCAGCCTGAATGTCTTCAGTCCACGCTAGTCTTGTAACTACCACTCCTGAGACAAATGCAATGAAACTGAGAATCGTAGGAGCAGAGTCCATTAATTTAGGTCCTTTGTACATGATTCCTATACAAATAGTATCAAGTTATGCAGCTTATTTACCTCCCCAGCAGAAACCTGCAGCCCCTACAGCAGAAACTCCCTTGCTTCTTAAAGCAGCAATTACTACCTTGGCATCTTCACATCCTTTATCCTAAAAGCAATATAATCTCAGGATCAGTTCAAATTGTCCAACAATGACTAATCAAGTGGCAGGATTCTTTCTTCACATGCCCCTCCTTGTTTCATAAAATGCAACTCTAATTGCACCAATTTGCTTTTTACAGCATTTATAACAAGCTTAAATGTTAATCTTAACACCTCCAAGTAAATTTAGATTCCGCAAGGGCCTCAAGAAATGACCTCATTTCTATTTGTTGATGTCGTTTGGATGATACTCCATTCTACATTACCACTTCTGGTGTTAAGATAGAAAAATATTGAAGCGTTATCAATTCTCTTGAAACTTTAGTTTGGAATACTTTGACATTAACATTGAGAAAAACAATGAAAATGCTCTCAATTCTTTATTCGCTTGAAACTAGCACAAAAATTTCAATGACAAATCTAAATAATATTTATGAAGCAAGAAACTAACGGTGCCATGAGCCTTTCTCCATGCTTCTCGATCCAGCAGAGGGTTATCAAGATCAACAGGGTCGCCGTAGAAGAAATCAGGAACCACAACGAAAAACCCAGAAGCCGCAACTTTGTCCGCAAGTTTCCTTCACAAGGATGCAATTCAAAATTTATTTTAATGATAACAGACTAGTGGAGATGTAATGGAGTTATATGAATCTATTTTGGTTTGAAATCAGAACAGAAAAGCAGGATCAGCTAAGAAGCACGGACAATTCTATGAGGTGCCGTGTCCATGTCCGACACCGTGTCGGATACCGACACTTCATGGACATTCATAGACATGTGTCCGACACTTCATGGTTGTGTCCATTGTTTATAAATAAATTTTATTATTTTGGACACTTGGCCGACACATCTTAGACACTTGGTCAACACATTTCGGACACTTAGTTGACACATTCAAGACAGTTGACCAACACATCCTACACTCTTTGTCTTAGATAAAACAAACACACAAAAGTCCTTGAAATAATATTATGAACATCCATCAAATTGTTCAACCTCTAAGGAGCAAAAACATAACTATAGTGACAAGACAGGATAGTAATATCATATATAATATAACATGTTCTTTTTTTATATTCGAATAGTGTCATATTCTAACTTATGTAATAAAATTTATAAATTAATTAAAGTTTTTTACCTGTCTCATTCAATATTTATAAATGAAAATGCGTCAGTGTCCTACTTTTTTAGAATTTGACATGTCGGCACATTCGTGTTGTATCGTGTCCATGTCCTGTGTCGGTATCCATGCTTCTTAGAGGATCAGCTTAGTGAAAAAGCTCTAATAAGTTATAAACTATGTTCAACAGAAAGTTCCAATGATTTCCTTTTCCTTGTTCTCCATTTAAGCTGACACATTTAAACCAAAAGACTGAAATACTGCCCCCAAAACTCTAATTGGTAGAGGAATAAGTGTTTGAAATAGTGTTTTCACCAATGTTCCAGAACAGAAATGGTGTGACATATGGTAGCACATGAAACACCTTGTCTTCCAAGTTGTGGTGCAGTTGAATTTAGGAAGGAAAAAAAAGAGAGAGAAGAAGATAAGAAATAAGAGTTCTTTTTTATTTTATTTTATTTTATTTTTTTCAAAATTTCAAGCAAACATACATCCACTCTATATTTTTGCCCCCACCAGGACTCAAACACTCAATCTCCCCAAAAGGAGAGGAGAGCTTATACCATCTAGACTAAAGTCTTTTGGTAATTAGAGTTTTTCCTAGTTGGTACTCACACACACTGCCTCCACTGAGGTTCGAACTCCTGACCTCTCTTTAGAAAGTAAGAGCCTTGTACCGCTAGGCCACAGGCCTATTGGTTATTGGTAATTAGAGTTTGTGTTACCAAGATGAGTTGGACTTAATTCATTTGTTTAATTGGTAATATACTAGTTTGGAGCAAGTTAGAATATGTATTGTAAACATATGGCCTATGGTAGAGGTACTGCTTCTGGTTCAATCTGAATGCTAGGCAGTTGGTATTTGGGTCAGATTTGAAAGCAACCAAGGGAAAATATGAACCATTTGGCGTTAATAATGTAATGTAAACATTATAAATCCTATTAAAGTACTGAGAATTAAGTTCAACAAAAGAGAGACGTAATAAATTAGCTTGAAACTTCAAGAATTTGTGATAAGTGGCGTTGGCACCAAGTCGAGTTCTGGTAAAGAGTAAGGTGATTCTGGCTTTGGGTTTGGTTTAGTTATATTATTTGGAGGAAAAAAGGACAAAAGGAAATAAGGTGATTTTTTCCCCCCGTCATTAAATTTGATATTGCACATGGTATTTAGATCTGAAAATTGGGAATGATTAATTTTCAAGGTTACATCTTCTGACACACATCATTATGGACTCGTGATGAGTTCCACATGCTGATCACTAGAAGAAGATCCTAAACCATTAGCAATCATAAATTATTGACAAGACGTTGTATTCATTTATCAACATTTTCAATGTTAGTTTTCACATAGAAATATTTTATAATTCAAATTATAAAGGGGAAACAAATCCAAAACCATAGTGTAATACTACATCAAGGTGAATTTTGTACTGGTCAAGCTTCGACATTCAAATATGTTGATTTTTGTACAAGTTTTTTATTGACAAATTTCAGATTAGTTTACGTATGGATTGCCTAAATGGACACAACACCTTGCCGCGTAAGACCATATCAAAATGACATCCCTGATATGAGTGGTCCTTATGTATTGTTTTTCTTACAGGTTCGCATATAGACAATCTTCATATTAGCATGAACTCAATGTAATAATAAAACCGCATAGATGCAAAAATGTGTTTGTTTCCATGTATTTATATTATATAGTATTTCCGTATGCTGAAATGCGTAAGTGTTATAAATTTAATAATCAGTTTCTTGAGTGGTATTGTTCTGCAGGTGGATAGAATTATTGAGTAAATTATGAATTAGGAGTGTCAGCTATTGGATATAGTGGCAGGACTTTCCTCCTATTCAAAATTTCATTTTTCTTTTTTTGGCTTAGTAGGACATATCCAGTCCTCTTTGAGCACCCAATTAACCGTCCCGAGCCCATTCAACATGCATTGGGCAATTATTGGGATAGATATCCGAGGACAGCTCTAGGGGATCCCACAAACTCAGGACCTCCCAAATTTTGATGTGGTGGATTGGCTATCTCATCTACCCACTGGCTCAAACATTTGAGACTATCATCAACTCTCTCACAAAAATATAACTATTACAACAAGTTAGCATTCCTAAAGTTAGTAGCCATGAAGAAAGAATGAATTCAAGTATAATGAAGTGGGGATAGAGGAATGCAAGATAACATGGCAAGGAACATTAGACCAAAAGTGAGCACCAACAAAAAACTATGAATGGATCACTTTCTAAAATGATTTTTTTTTTGGGTCCTAATTGAATAATAAGAGATTCACTTCATTCATCAGATATGGTAATAACAAATACACATTACCTCAATTTTGGAGCTTCATAGCCTGCAAAACATTTCAATACAAAATATAAGTTAATACTAATTCGCCCAGTAACATTGAGAACTAGAAACATATATCATAATCAAACACAATGAAGAATTACTAGTGTTCTTTCCTTTCTTTTGTTGTCTTAGTTATCATCTCTCCTCTCCTTTCCTTTCTTTTTGCCCATAATTTACTATATTGCCCTCTCTTTTCCTTCTAGCTATCCAAACGCACTCTTTAACCCCTTCTTTTCCACAACTCTCTTCCAATTGAACTCCAATTAATCATAGAAAAGCTCCCAATCATTGGGAATCAAAATAATAATAATAAAAAAAAAACAATTATTCAAATCCAAGATTGCATAGCATTAGATATTGTTTGCATAGATATCGCCATCACTATTTAAAAATACCCAGTTCCACAACTCACTAAATCTGAGCTTAAAAGAAGTGCAAAACATAAAAGAATCTATGAAATTCAATACAACTAACGAAGATTGATGTAGAAAATGATGATGGGTTGTTACCGAAAACGTCAGAAACAAGAAGGATCGCGAGCTTGGAATCTTGGGGACCAGTGATATAGGTCTTCAAACCTCCTAGCTCTTGCACACACCCTGCTCCACAAGTTGAGCTGAGGTTTGGTGGATTCACAAAGCACTGCGAGGTTGCCATCGCAAATTATAAACAGGAAAAAAGTAGTGTGTGCATACACACACAGTTATATTTATGTATTTATGTAGATTGTAAAGTGTAAGAGAAATGGAAGGAGTGAGAGTTAACGAAGATAGAATGGGAGGGTCTGAGATGAGATCATGAGAAGGGGGGAAGGGGGGGGGGGGGGAGTGAGAGGGAGAGAGAGAGAGAGAGAGAGGGAGAGATTCAGTTGAGGGAGATTGAATTGAGCTACATCACCACTTACGTCAGAGGAGCGAGATTCAATTGAGGGAGATTGAATTGAGCTACATCACCACTTACGTCAGAGGAGCGAACCTCTACTGGCCCAATGATGTTACCGATGTTACCGAGCAGCATAACCTTTTGACCTGACTACCACCTAGTATGTGGGTGTGTCACACAAAGTGGGACGGAAAGTACAATAGGAAACATCATGTGCCGAGAGTAACGCCCATTTAGAAAGAAGAAAAATGTTATACTTTACAAATTTTTTAATTTCTGAACATTTTTCTTCTTCCTTAATTTGTGATTTTCTCTTAAATTAGATGACTATTTATTTGTCAGTTTATTTGACTGTTTTTTATATTTTAAAAATAAATTTTTTAATATAAAAAATATTTCAATATCAAAAAGAGAGAATAAATAACAAACTTATGATTTTTAAAGATTTATTTATTTAAATTTATTGTTTTTGAATTTGATTTATATTGTTTTATACGATTTTTGATTAATTATTTGGATGGTTGAACGATTATTTGATTTGTGTTATTTAATTATAGTTTGATTATATTTAATGATTTGGCGTGTTCACGGTACTTAATGTGTAAGTAATTAATTGGTTGTTGCATGAGTATGCGTATGTGTAAGTTTGTGTGCATAAATTGTTGTTTATATTTAAAAAAAAAAAAAAAAAAAAAATTTGCTATTTATTTGTAATTTTTATAAAGGATTGGGTTTAAGGAGATGGGCCAAATTAGGTGGCCTTAGATTTTGAAAGGACTTAACGAGCTAATTGGACTCTTGTGATTATACATCAAATTAATTGTTATTTTGGATTTTATATTAATATATTACATGAACAATATTACATGAAAAATATATATATAAATTAATTGTTAATTTGGATTTTATGTTCATGGTTAATTAGTCATTTTTAATTAAGTTGAGGTTTGAAGGAAGATAACTCAAAAAGGGAATGGTTTATTTAATATGGGTTTGGGATATAAGAGTAATTATATATTGATTCCTAGATAGGGGACGTAGAGAATGTATCTATGGAACTTGATGTTTATTTATATATTTATGTATCAGTCTATATTAAAGGTTATAACTTTAATAGGGTGATTTTGGTTAGAGATATTTTATTTATCGATTTTCAGAGGCTTGGCAGAGGAAGCTTGCTCGTGGGTTTTACCCACTTTATTTTTACACCTTTTAGGTTCTTAGAAATTCAAGTCTCAAGGTTAAAGATCCGCAACTTGGGGACTTTTTCCATCATCTACTCTTTGGCTTTTTTCAAAGTAGGATTTTGTTTTGTTATTAGATTATTATTTTATTGTCATGAATTTAACGATTATTGGATTATGGTTTAAGGGTTCTTGACTTATGGGATTATCGAGTTGTATCTTTGGAGATTTATTCAATATGAATTTTAAGTTGGAAGTTTATTAATGGGATTATTAATTATGAGACTTTCCTTCCACATTTATTTATTTCTTATTAATTAATTTTTTAATCGATACTTGTTTAAATATTAATTGTTTTGATATTCCCTAATTTTTTTAGTGTAGACTTGATCAACCCATATCTATGAAATTAAGGAGTATCACAGTTGGTATAAGAGCATTCCAAGTTGAAGTGTCTATAGGGATACTTCGTTATGTGACTTTCGCATTGCATCTTTGATAGTTAGAGCTTAAGTATTAGGCATCATTGTATTTTATATTCGGTCCATTAATGCATTCTAACATCGAACCGTTTTTGTCTTATCAGAAAATGGTAAGACATCGATTGAGGAGGTATTTGAGTAGGCAAGAGCATAGATGCTAAAATCGTTTGCGAAATCAAGCGTTTGTTCAGGAGCATCAAGATCGAGGTGTTGACCAGGAGATTTCTTCTAATGTGGTTCATATCATTACCCATGCTGTGACTGCAGGGTTAGCAGCTACAATTCAAAATCAACAATTTCTCCAGCAGGTATCCGCTTTTATACCAATGGAACAGCCAAGCGCTTGGGCGAAAGTAAGGAGTTCCTTTACTAAAAGAAGTCCATCGGAGTTTTCAAAGTCCACGGATGTGAAGACTGCACATCAGTGGAAGAAGGATATTGAGCGTCATCTTTGTAAAGTGGACTGCACCGAGGTTTAGAAGCAAATGCTTACTACTTTCAAGCTGGTATGAGATGCGCTACAGTGGTGGGAGTCTATTACCACTATAAAGGAAAGGACCAAACTGACTTACGCTCAGTTCCAAGCTTGTTTTGACAAAAAGTATTTTCCGTTTGTGGTCAGAGAGCTAAGAAGAAAGAATTCCTTAACCTACAGTAAGGTGATAGGACAGTTACAAAATATAAGCAAGAGTTAACAAATTTGTCTATATTTGCATCAGAGGAAGTGAATACGGAGGAGAAGAAGATGAATTACTTTTTAAATGGAATGATTTGGCCCATTAAGCAGGTTATTTTGGGGAGCACGGCATACACAACATATTTGCAGGTGGTTAATGCAGCTTTACAACATTGCTAGGCTAGGAGGGATTACAAGCGATCTAGGGATGAGAAGCGGGGCGATAAAGACTCTGTTAACCACTTAGTTAAGAAAGATGAGGGTAATTGAGCCAAACACAAAGATAAGAGCGGATTCCAGGGACATCAGCCTTGGAAGAAGTATAAGGGTACAACAAAGGTTCAAAGAGAGGGAGTTCCTGAGACAGCCTTGGTTTTTCAAGCCAGTGCATCCTATGATGAACCGGAGTTTGACCTGATAACGGATTCAAATCCGGAAGCGAAAATAGAAAACAAGTCTCTAGGAATATACAACTTCCCTAAGACACAAAAGTGACCTTCTATGAGGCCACGGAACTCAAAAGGAACCAATGAGAAAGAAAAAGATTAGAAAAAGACCAAATAAGCCCTCAAGGGCAAAATGATCTTTTTACATGGAAACAATGTCTCTAGAAATATACATCATCCCTAAGACACAATCATGACTTCTCATGAAGCCATGGAAACAAAAGGAAAACAAGCGGAAACGACGTTTTAAAAACGGATAAGTTTAGCCCCAAGGTCAAAATGGTAATTTCTAGCAAGATTTGGGTGCTACTGAGCACACCATTGAAAATAAGACGAAAAATTAATCAAGTTAGACTCAAAAATCACTTAATTTGGAGTCCAGATGGAAGAGAAAAGTCAAAATAAAGTTTTGACGTCGCCGCGACCGTGAATAGTGTTTTGACAGCGATGAATAGTGTTTTGACAGTAATGAATAGTGACTTGGGCCAAATGCTGAAAATCATGTGCTGTTTTGAGGCACTAAACTACGTTTTTTAGAAAAACACGAATAAGAAACCCCCCCTTAAAATAATTTTTCCATACTGACAATGTCGAAAGAAAAATTTATTCTTGACATAAAATCCCCAAAATGCCCTTATAACAGACTTTTTCAAAAAATGCATATGCGTACAGAAAATCAGATTTGACACAGGGTTTTCGAGACCGAGATGGGGTTTTCGAGACCTAGACGGCATTTTCTGAAAAAATGTTGTGAAGAAACCCCTCCTAAAATCACTTTTTTTATGTGATTATGTCAAGGCCGGAATTTATTTTGTTCATTTGATCCTAAATGGTGTTGTGTGCTAAAATGATCATGCACGCAAACGTAAATAGTGATTTTAATTGTGCGGGAATAGTCCGCGGCTCCCAAAAATGCCCGATGCAAAATACGACCTATCCGAACCTCAAAATGCAAAGAAAATGCTTTACATGGAAATCTTGAGACCAACAAGTATCCATTTCATACAAATGTGATATTTTGTACAAGGTGAGCATTCACGCAAACGTAATATACATATTTACACGCGTTCCAGTGGCCTACAGCCTCAATGGTCGCTAAAAACAAAATATCACCTATTAAATCTCAAATTTTGTCAAAAATGGCTTTTAAAAGAGAAATTTGAAACTAAAATTATAAAATGGTTTCAAAAGACCCTTGGCCACACTTTATGTATAAATAAAGAGACCATATGGAAGTGCAAAAGTCCACTTCCCATCACCTATGCAAATGTAGTGATGCGAATGCGTGTCATTTTTCTATTTTTCCACAAATAAAGCTTGAAAGTAAAAGTACTTAGAATACAAAATAAAAGTCGTTGGCCCATGGCCTCATCTCATACATGTCAAATACATTACAAAAGGTGTACTTATGCACACATTACATATTTAGAAGCAAATATACAAGTTTTAACATATAAAGCTACAAATAGCATTTTATGCTAACATTTGCATGAATTATAAACGTCAAGTCTACAAATCATCCCAAACATAATATGAATCTCGAATCTTGATTCCTATACCTGAAAAATATCCCCACTACGTGGGTGAGTAACATAAGCTACTCGTAGGAAATGAATATGCATAAACCTAACATTTTATAAACTTATTAAGTTGCTATAAATCAATTCATACGGTCATGCCACCTAGCGTCTATGTCAAATGTGAGACTCGGGGAGCATCTTAAGCTACCTTAGAGCATTTCTAGCATAAATCACATCATTCATGCAATTTGAACATCATAGAAGCATATAGTACAACGCAACAAGACCTATGTATTCAAAGTTGTCAACTTGGAACCTAAAATACGAAAACAATCGAAACGGTTCATGCCACCTAATGTCTATGTTCTAAATGACTCTAAAGAACCATCCGAGGCTACATTGAACAATTAAAACACAAATTACAATTTTAATGCAATTTTAACTAACATTATAACTTCTAATACAATGCATCAAGGCATAGATTATAAAAGTTAACAACTTGAAATCTAAAATACGAAAACAATAAGTTATAACAATGTAGTGCTATTAACTTGTATTGAAAAGTAAGGCATGCAAGTATACTAAGCACATGTATACTACACCTAATTGAAATGTCAAACACCACATCACAAGCTATAAATA